TTACTTACTTGCTCTGACTTCTCTCTAAGTTATTCCCCGTAATAACCCTTCGGATATATACCCCTGGGTAGACTATCCATCAGGGGTCATCGCCCAACTTGAAAGGAGACTCGCTCAGATGGAAGCAAAGTAAATGGCCGAGGCACGTGCGGCCGCTGCATCTAGGGACCCCGACCTCAACGACCTCTTGCACAAGGTCAGCGCCCTGGAGCGGGAACTGGTCGATGAACGTGGTGACCCCGTCATCCAAATCAGAACAAAAACTCCCTTCACCACAAGGGCGCTCTCGGCCCCAATACCCGAGAAGTACCGGGGGAGTGCCATTAAGCCTTATGATGGCCGCACCGACCCCCAATAGCATTTCAGTCGCTATCAAAACAACATGCTGATGGTAAATGCGTCTGATGAGTACCTCTGCCGTTGGTTCATTTCCACTCTTGAGGGACCAGCGTACGAGTGTAAGGAAATTGATGTAACGTACCTCGAAAGTACGGCAGCGGAAGTTTAAAATTTTCCCAAACAGATCTTCCCTGATTATGACAAAATAACGAATATGATAATAATAACAGATCTGAGTTAGAACTTACAGATCTTCCAGCCTAGCGGTGATAATCCTTGACCTTTGGTATCCAAGTGATTTCTCCTTCCCGAAAGAACGGTTAGATCTCCCTAAGAGAAAAGCTAGGAAATCTCTTCGCAGGGAAATAAACTGTTAATACTGAATCTTAAAACTGGTCTACAAATTATGAAGGAGAAGGATGTATTTATACTAGTTCGAAACTAGTTTCTCAATCACAATGAAAGTCTTTCTAATTAATGAGTTCTAATCCTACTAGGACCAATACTCCTAATTAATTAAATAAGTAGATAAAACAAAACAAAATAATAATAATAATTGAGATGTGGCTGCACGCCACTTTCTAATTATTATATATTAATATTTATTTTATTTACTTTTCTTTTAATTCCAAATTACAAAAGAAAATATCTACTTTATTTAATAATAAATACATCTTATTTAAGTATGATAAATCTAATTTATCTTACTTAATTAATTCTATCAAATAGAACTCTCCTTCAGCTTCATGAATTAAATATGTTTAATCTAATTAATATTTAATTCATTTTCAGTATTACGAATTACATATTATTTAATCCAATTAATAATATTTAATTCATTTTCAGTATTACGAATTACATATTATTTAATCCAATTAATAATATTTAATTCCTTCTAACAATTCAATCGGAAGGTATAATCACTTGTTGTGTGACCCATAGGGCCTTATATATTAAGCACTAATCAAATTAAGGTCTTAGCGAATCCCTAGACGATTCTCCAGACAAACTTAATATATAAGGACGTTTGCGAGGACTATACAAACTCCCTGTAATATAGAGCTCATAGTGATACGGTCCTTTCATTCAGCGAACATTCAATTAAGTCTAGAACATGATATAGTGTCTATCCCAAAAACTCAGTCTCTGTCTCTCAATCTTTCTAGATGATCCATAACGATCATATTCGATATCCAAAACGAATATATCTTTGCATTGGCCAATGACTTTATGATCCATCTAGATATGAGAAGTAGAATGTTCTATCTCTTAATCTATTATGAGGAATGAATCCTTTCTTGGCTCAACTACTACTCCATGTGCTTCGTGATGCACCCAACACATGCCGTATCTACCCCGATTGGAGTGCAAGCGTTGGTCATGGTCAAAGTACATCACTCCGCACATGTAGTACGTATTGACCTCAAGTCGGAGGACTATTACACTACTCTATACGCCGATAATCCCATAGACACATGAATAGAACTTATCAAATGGTGTCTCGGTGGGTATGCCAATATTCTCTAAAATATCTATGTGACCATCATGAATTACAGGAACTCATAGTCGTGAGATCAACTATACTTTCTAAAAGTATGATGCAGTCCACATACCAATCTTATCGCATATCATCAATATCCCATTCTTGATGATCATTGATTAGGGCTATTTTAGGACCTTATGTTATATCATATAAGCTCCCACTTACTTATTGACAACATAAATCCAAGGGAACACAATTATGAATAAGATATTGGCAATCGAAATACCTAATCATCAATGTGTAATACCGTATATATCAAATATATAAAACTGAATGTGATCAAGTACATATATCTCTAAAAAGTGATTGTCGCTAGGACATATATACTAACAATCTCCCACTTGGCCTAGTGCCAATCACCAATGCGTCTAACACCTAGACTTTCAAAAGCCTACAATGTTTCTTGCATCTCAAAGGTTCGGTGAATGGGCTAGCCAAATTGTCCTCTACGGGAATGCGTTCTATTGCAACTTCTCATCTTGCTATTTGTATCAAAACATGATAGCATACTGGTATTTTCTAGTTCCTTACTTTGCATCTTGGTTCCTTAGCTTGTGCAAATATACCGGTACAGTCACAATAACAATTATTGGATAACTGTCGCCAGGAACTACCCCAATTTCTTTAAGGAACTAACGTATCTAAACACTTACCTATGTTGCATCAAATGCAACAATTTACTAGGCTCTAGTTGTCGAATTTATAGTAGTTTCTTACTAGCAACTCTTTCAGCACTACTACTATTACATTGAGACTAAAAACATATACTGACTGTGACTTGCAATCTTTCTTATCATACATGAAACTAGTGCTAGAATAATTAAATTCTACTAGTTCTTTCTGTCTACCATAGACAAAAAGATATTCATGAAGATTTTGAGTGACCATTCTTTCACAGACTTCAATGAGGGGATATCATTCTCTATTATCAACATGTATGATTATAAAGACCACTCTATCCTTGTTGCGCACTCTAAATACGTAAGCACTCTCATTTCATTTGATGAGGTCAAACGATTTGACTATTTCATCAAAATCAATATTTCAACTCCTAGAGGCTCGTTTTAGCCTATAAATAGATTTCTCTAATTAACATAGTGATTTAGAATTTGACTTGGATGCAAAAACCTTTAGGTTGTACCATGTACACCTCCTCCTTGAGGTTTCCATTAAGGAAGTGGGTTTTGACATCCATTTGTCAAATCTCATAATCATACTATGCAGCTATCACAAGCAAAATTCGAATGGACTTGAGTTTTACAACTGGCAAATAGGTATCACTATAGTCAATTCCTTCTCTTTGACTATAACCTTTAGCCACTAGCCTAGCTTTGTATGTTCTCACCTTGCCTTCAGCATTAATTTTCTCCTTAAAAATCATTTTGCATCCAATGGGTCTAACCCAACAGGCAAGTCAACCAAGTTCCATACTTGATTGATACACATCGAGTCCATTTTAGATTTTATGACTTCTCGCCACCTCTATGAATCAACATCTAATATTGCTTCTCAGGTTCATCCGTATCAGGAATCTTAACATCATCATGATCCTCCATGAGGAAGCCTAACATAGTTAGTTCATGATGAATCCTAATAGATCCGCAGAGTTGAATGTTTTGCGTTTTGTTCAGGCTTTTCATTCTGATCGTGAAGAGGTTCTCTTTCATTGGACTATCCAATGCTTAGAGAGTTTTCTGGTGCTACACTTTTAAGTGTTTCCAGAGAAAGAGAAGTGGGTGCAGAAGGAATGACAACCATGTCATCTTATATCTTTAATAAGAATCACTTACCGGTGCGAGGTGATTCCTATATTACTCCCACTAGCTGAAGGATATCCCCTTAGAGACATTCTTCAAGTAAATTCTCCCACTGAATCCTTCGTCAGACCATCTAACAAATCTTCATTCTCTATGTTACTTCAGCTTTCAATTTGATTAGTGCACATTTCTTTACATATGTAGGGCAACCCATATTTAATATGTGAAGAAAATGTCTTTTATTATACTATAACTCATATAGTACATTTTGCACTAATCAAACTATTCAGAATGTATATTGAGATTTATAGCGTGTACCCTCAAAAGAATGTTTGGAAGAGAAAATGAATTCATCATAGATCTAGCCATGTCTAACAAAGCCCTATTTCTCCTTACAGAAACGCCAGTCTTCTAAGGTGTTCTGGAGGAGTTCATTATGACCGAATTCTTTGACCTTTTAAATAAATCAGAAATTTTACTTAAGTACTCTTTAGTTTGCTATCCTTTTTCCTAGAAAAGGATTATTAGTCAAGTTGCTTGAAAGACAAGATTCGCAATTTCCATATGACTCAAAAGCAAATGGTGTTAAATAATCTAATTCATTTAACGTTGCTATTCTTGTTTCATTAATTTGACCAAGTTTGCAATGTCAAAGATAGGTAGTAATTTTTCTGATTACTTAATCGAGATCCTTTTATTTTATTCATTTAATATCTAATATGTCGATTGATAATTAACCATTCATAAGAAAAGCATTTCCACAACAACACCATTTTATGAAAATAACAATTATTATTAGCAAAATGAAAATAGAAATCTTTTAATGTCTAACATATGAATGGAAATAATCTTCTTGGTAATAGAAGGAATAAAATAACAATTATTTAATTCTAATCTAAAACCACTGGGCAAATCTAAACTATAAGATCCTATCACGTTCAGCAGCAACTTTTGCTCCAGCCTTCACGCGTAGGTCAATTTTACCCAGTCCAACTGCTACACTGCTTCTCAGGTTTCTGCACATTTTTACAAATGTGTAAGCCATAAGTTGTATCTAATACTTTAACAATGAGAGTTAGTTATAGACATATTTATTTAATGATAAAAATACCTGAGCTTGAAGCACCCGGTGCTTTGGCTAGATTAGCCTTATACAGCTCACAATCTCTCTTCCAATGCCCCTTCTCTTTGCAGTAGAGGCAAACATCCTTTGTAACCTTTGGCTTCATATGACCTCCACCTTTAGGCTTAAGAGCTGTAGGAGTAGGTCCAACCTTACCTTTCTTCTTTTGCTTATTCTTGTTCTTAGAACGAGACTTAGCATTAGAGCTTACCATAAGAACAGTCTTTCCTTTAGAGGTTGAGGCTTCATAAGACTTGAGCATGTTATGGAGTTCAGGCATGGTCGCTTTCGTTTTGTTCAAATTATAATTCACAATGAAGTTAGTAAATGAACTCGGAAGCGAATATAGTATGATAGCAGCTGAGACACGATCCTCAAACTTAATTCCGATGGTAGAAACTCTTTCAATTAAGCCAATCATTTTGAGGACGTGCTCAGACACGTTGCCACCCTCTTGAAGCCTACACTTGAAAATGTCTGTCAGAAGTTCATACTCTAGAATCTGACTTTCTGAATCAAACAGACTTTTCAAGTGTTCAAGCATCTCGAAGGCGTTCATCCTATCGTGTTGCCTTTGCAACTCCATAGACATTGCAGCTAACATAACACATTGCACAGTTTTAGCATCAGTGACGTGTTTCTCTCGAGCAGTCAGGTCAAACGTGACAAACTCAGGAGAGTTGGCATCAGGAATCTTGGGTACCGGTGTGTCTAACACATACTCAATATTTTCTTGTCTAAGAACTAAACGCACATTTCTTTCCCAGTCAAGAAAGTTTGGTCCAGTAAGCTTGCATGTATCCAGGATACTTCTCAATGATAAACTCGACATACCTAAAAGCCTAAAGAAGTTCAAATAGAACAGAATTAAAATCATATATTAATTCCTATGATCACATCTAGTTAACTAAATAATATGGACTTTTAATTATTTAGTTCCCACTATTTTTACATGCTCTTTGACCCCAATAAAAGGAACATGGAATGTTTTACAATCATAGTGGCCAAAATCCTCATTCATACTATTACAGTCCCAACTTGGGCTGATCACTGCAATAATATAATGGGTAAGTCCCCAGACCAATTGCGTCCAAGCAACTTTTGGTTGATCAATTTTTAATTGATCGACATCCTTAAATTAACACTGACGCTTGAGCGACTCGAGCTAATTTAAGTAAGTCAAAACCATCACACGATCACAAACAATTGTACCTATAAATTAGTTCTATATTTTGTCGAATGGAATAAACACTTGGGTGAAATATTCTTCAACGAAAAAATATTTCTACTAATTTAATTATGATGGGTGATGTCGTTATCCCAGATAAGACTTAAATTTTAATTTATGGGGAACATTTAGCGGGTATTAAATTATTCTATTTAATTAAGATGCTAAAACATATTATCAAATAATATGTTGATGAGATCTAACTCAAACAGATAATGTAAAGCATGCAATATAAATCTAATTTATAAACAGATACAATTATCAAATAAAATAATCAATTTAAAGTAAAAGCATGCTAAAACACAATACAACTTTCGGTTTAAAAAAAACCGTCTAAATCTCCAACAAAATCGATCCTTTTTTTTATTAAGGAAATTGTTAAAACTTCATTAAAAACTTTCAGGTTTAATCTTAGCCTCTTAGGACTTCTAAACAAAAACTGTATTTGGTGCTAGACTCCTAGAGCCCTTTTAATTACTACGTACTCCGTATTTCTCAAAAAGTTGGACTAAATAGAACTAAAAAGTTCACAGAACAAGGGAATGATTAAAAAAAATATCCGGATGCAGGCAGCCCCAAGCAATTTTAATTGCGCAAAACCCGCCGAACCCCTCGGATCCTTTAAGCTCAGAAGGAGATTAGCAGCTTGCGAATCTGTTCAGACCATAGTGATTCCATCTAACTGTTCTGCCTTTCTTCATCGTTGCAAACGGACTGAAATTAGAGGGAGCAAGCTCAATCCGCCATTAATGGTGGTCTAGCTTGCTGGGAAAAACAAAAATTGAAGATTGAGATCTCCCTGAAGCTCTAAATTCATTGATGATGAAGCTTCCTTCTTCTTCGCCAAAGTGGTCGTATCATCGTCGATCAAAGATCTTCCAGCTCGCCAAAAAAACTCAAAGTCCAGTTTGGGAATCGAAATTCGTTGAAGAGGAGAGGGATGCAATCACAATTCGGAAGAATTCGAGATTAAGATTTCTAAATTCAGATCATGATATTCATGTTCTAAAACAAAAATTAATCCAACTTTGATCGCAAATCAGATTAATGAAAATATATTTCTCAAATATATTTTACCTACGAAAATCTCTATAAAAAAAATTCGTATAATGTCATTAGAATCAGTTTGGCTCTGATACCAATGTAAGGAAATTGATGTAACGTACCTCGAAAGTACGGCAGCGGAAGTTTAAAATTTTCCCAAACAGATCTTCATTGATTATGACAAAATAACGAATATGATAATAATAACAGATCTGAGTTAGAACTTACAGATCTTCCAGCCTAGCGGTGATAATCCTTGACCTTTGGTATCCACGTGATTTCTCCTTCCCGAAAGAACGGTTAGATCTCCCTAAGAGAAAGGCTAGGAAATCTCTTCGCAGGGAAATAAACTGTTAATACTGAATCTGAAAACTGGTCTACAAATTATGAAGGAGAAGGATGTATTTATACTAGTTCGAAACTAGTTTCTCAATCACAATGAAAGTCTTTCTAATTAATGAGTTCTAATCCTACTAGGACCAATACTCCTAATTAATTAAATAAGTAGATAAAACAAAACAAAATAATAATAATAATAATTGAGATGTGGCTGCACGCCACTTTCTAATTATTATATATTAATATTTATTTTATTTACTTTTCTTTTAATTCCAAATTACAAAAGAAAATATCTACTTTATTTAATAATAAATACATCTTATTTAAGTATGATAAATCTAATTTATCTTACTTAATTAATTCTATCAAATAGAACTCTCCTTCAGCTTCATGAATTAAATATGTTTAATCTAATTAATATTTAATTCATTTTCAGTATTACGAATTACATATTATTTAATCCAATTAATAATATTTAATTCCTTCTAACAATTCAATCGGAAGGTATAATCACTTGTTGTGTGACCCATAGGGCCTTATATATTAAGCACTAATCAAATTAAGGTCTTAGCGAATCCCTAGACGATTCTCCAGACAAGCTTAATATATAAGGACGTTTGCGAGGACTATACAAACTCCCTGTAATATAGAGCTCATAGTGATATGGTCCTTTCATTCAGCGAACATTCAACTAAGTCTAGAACATGATATAGTGTCTATCCCAAAAACTCAGTCTCTGTCTCTCAATCTTTCTAGATGATCCATAACGATCATATTCGATATCCAAAACGAATATATCTTTGCATTGGCCAATGACTTTATGATCCATCTAGATATGAGAAGTAGAATGTTCTCTCTCTTAATCTATTATGAGGAATGAATCCTTTCTTGGCTCAACTACTACTCCATGTGCTTCGTGATGCACCCAACACATGCCGTATCTACCCCGATTGGAGTGCAAGCGTTGGTCATGGTCAAAGTACATCACTCCGCACATGTAGTACGTATTGACCTCAAGTCGGAGGACTATTACACTACTCTACACGCCGATAATCCCATAGACACATGAATAGAACTTATCAAATGGTTTCTCGGTGGGTATGCCAATATTCTCTAAAATATCTATGTGACCATCATGAATTACAGGAACTCATAGTCGTGAGATCAACTATACTTTCTAAAAGTATGATGCAGTCCACATACCAATCTTATCGCATATCATCAATATCCCATTCTTGATGATCATTGATTGGGGCTATTTTAGGACCTTATGTTATATCATATAAGCTCCCACTTACTTATTGACAACATAAATCCAAGGGAACACAATTATGAATAAGATATTGGCAATCGAAATACCTAATCATCAATGTGTAATACCGTATATATCAAATATATAAAACTGAATGTGATCAAGTACATATATCTCTAAAAAGTGATTGTCGCTAGGACATATATACTAACAACGAGTGGTTCAACGCGCTGCTCGAAGGAAGCGTGGACTCATGGCAAGATCTTGCCCAACGCTTCCTCACCCACTTCGCCGGAAGGAAGCGCATGAAGAAACATTTCTCCCATCTCCTCTCCATCAAACGGAAACACGATGAATCACTCCGATCTTTCATCGACCGATGGACGAAGGAGACATACGAGGTCGAACGTGCCGATGAGTGCACCCTCCTCGTCCTCTTCCAAGGCGTTTTATGCAGCAGCCCCTACGCGAGGAGCCTCATCACTGACCCGCCGAGGTCATACACCAAGGCACTCCAGCGAGGGAACTTGTACGCTGACGCTGATGAGCTTCACCCCGCAAGAAGATGGAGGCCAGCGGATGGCTGTAGAATGTGCTCTGCGGCTGAAAGTCTGGAAAGCCTCTCTTCCTACGCATTCTACAAAGGGCATATATAGCCTTGTAGAATGGTAGGTCAGCTTATGATTGGGCTCCTATAAAGGAGGAGGCCCATTCCTATTTTGGTAAGCATACCATTGCCATTTAAGGCATATTTGGTGTCTAATTGTTGGGATTATTTTATGGTGTCTAATCTAATTAAATATTCTTGTATTTGTGTAGTTATTAATTAAACGTGTAATACATGCCACAAATGTGTATTAGCCCGTTAGCTTCCTTGTAACCCGTAAGTTAGCCAACTTCTCCTATAAAAGGAGGCTAACTTACGGGAACCCTAACGATTGAGGCTTTAGAGACGCAGAGACGCAAAGTCAAACCTAAGGTTTAAGCTCCACTATAGAGGTCCGAAAATCGTAGATAATTCAATCAACCTCGCGTCAACGGTCATCTTACAACAATCAACAATCAACTGTTGAAGCCTCCCCTAACTCATCAACATTGTGTGATCCTCAAACATGCTGAAATTCTAAATGATGAGCTTAGGGAAACCGTCATGTGTGGTACCTGTTCAGATTGCTCCACACACATGGCGGGTATGACGAGCTGTGAGATATCAAACCTTGCACATTCTAAGGGGGAGTTTCAGTTTTCTCCTCCTGGCGCCTTACACTGACAAAGCAAGGAATCTCTCAACGGATGCAGCATTCTAGGGGGAGTGTTCAATGTTATCGTCCTCGGTGCCTAACAATGACAAAGCATACCGAGTGCTCCAGTTGAGGGGGAGTACAGAGACAAAATCAATGAGAGAACATGTTCCTATGGCTTAGTAAACCCAACTAAGCCTACCCTAGAGACAAAGCCGGGAGTAAGTGAGTGAGTGAGTGAGTGAGTAATCATTATGAGAGTTAGGAAGCAGAAGGCTCAAGTGAGAAGGAAAACAACAATCAATGATGAGTCTGCTACCTCAACTGCCTGCTATGTATTGAACATTTACTCCTAGCCACTCAAATACTCTGGACAATTCCCAAATAGGTTCAGGACTGATTTAATGATATCCCGGGTAGAAGTCACTGCATCTTGTCCAACAGTGCATGTTTAACCCTACCCAAGACCACTCACTTGTCTCCCAACAGACAGGTGCTTAATCATATTTCACGGGGAACCACATCTCTCATTACTGTCTCCTTCCGAGTCAAGTGATACTGACTACAGTGGCCTCAGCCCCATGCCACTGAACTTACATTGATCACATCGTGTCTAATTACCTCACTCCCAAATGTTTTAAAATTTTCTAGGACACAGATGCACTTTTTGAGTCAGTTGCAAGTCTACACGACCCGCGAGAACTTCCATAGGGCTCATCTATTACAGATGTAGACCAATGATTGGAAGGAAGTCTTGCTGTTGCAACATAAGAATCACCAACATTTTCAGGCCATTTCTAAAGAGTTTATCTCTTTAGTGATGATAACGGGCATCTACACGACCCCGGGGGGCTACATTATCTTCTTTAAATTCTGCTTGTTTTTCTTGTTTTATTTTCCACAGAATAAAGAATGAAGGCATGACGCCCCGATTCATCGGATCGTCATGAGGGGGAGAGTGGTCCACATGCTGTCAACTGTCAAAAAAATATCATTCTGGGACTATTTTCTCCTCCAACACTCTCTCTACTATCTCCGCAACTCAAATGGTCAGCTACGCTCACAAGTCAACCATCATTATGTTCCACTGTGCCACCGACAAGTTCTTCTCAAATGCATTCAATTCCAAATAGTCAAAAAGACTACATTGTGGAGGAGACAGAGGTCACTTACTCAATTTCTGAAGATGAATCCCGTGCGCCCCTGATAATCATCAGAACATTCATTCTAGAGGCCTCATCGGACTTCATCCAAGCTGATCAAGAGCAACTTCTGGAAGGCAAGGATTACAAGAAAAGGATTCCTCAGAAGTCCCGGCATCACAGATCAAACTGCCAAGAAAACATCAAAGAGGAGATTGAGAGGATTTCTTCATAAAGCCTTCTTGGAAGTTGAGCTCAAAGACAAAAGAAGCTGAGCTGCACTGAAGTTCACAAGACAAAGATATCTGCGCTACAATGCTGAATGAACACGATTGAACACCAAGGGGGAGATTGTTGGGATTATTTTATGGTGTCCAATCTAATTAAATATCCTTGTATTTGTGTAGTTATTAATTAAACGTGTAATACGGGTCACAAATGTGTATTAGCCCGTTAGCTTCATTGTAACTCGTAAGTTAGCCAACTTCTCCTATAAAAGGAGGCTAACTTACGGGAACCCTGACGATTGAGGCTTTAGAGACGCAGAGGCGAGATAGAGAGAGAGTAGGGTTTCCGCTGCTCTCCTTCTCCAGGGAGAGCAGCGGGGTTTCATATGGTATACCAGATTCGGTTCAACTTCTCCATATCTTTCTATCTGCTTCTACTTTATACCTGCTTTGAATGTTTGATTGTTAGTATATTGGGTCTATCATTAACCATTCTATTTTCTTTTTCTATGAGATCAAGCGTAATGAGATTTGCACGTTCACACAGATAACAAACAAAAAAAGTAAAGGTTAATTGTCAAAATAAGACTAAAAAGTTGGTGACTTTGAACAAATAGGACCAAAAAGTAAACTATGTTTTGATAGGATTAATTATGTGTGTGTTGGATAAATATACCCTAGTTGTCATTGAAATGTTTTAATTCATCATAAAATAATACTCCCTTCATCCCGCTAAGATTGTCCCATTTTACCTTTTCGGAAAATCCCACTAAGATTGTTACACACCAAATTTGGTAAAATTTGTATGGCTCTAAATGATTTTTACTTTAATTTTACTTTATCAATTTAATATCAACCACACAAACTCACTTCTCTTAATAATCGTGTCACCTTCCTTGTCTCAATCTTAGTAGGACAGAGGTAGTAAAAAATAATAAAAATTCGTAAAAAATACTAAAAAAATAATAAAAATATTTAAATAATAATAATAAAAAATGCAAAAAAAAAAAATCAGTACCGCGTCTACCACCCCAGCAGCACCACCTCTAGGGGAAAAAATGTCACATACATTATGAATGCTATATTTATGCATTCAACGAAAATTTTGGCATTCTCATAAAGAAATATGTCATTTTCTTTTTGGCATTTTCAGAAAAAAAAAATGACAATTTATTTAAAAAATGACATATTTTACACCGATCGAAAGTGGTGATGCAGGGAGAAAGTACGAGCAGTGAGAAAGACATCTAATTTTAAAAAATTAAACAAATAAAAAAAAAATTAAAACAAAAAAACGCTAAAAATATCACCTCTACTGCCCAAGCACCACTATCTCCGGTCACCGTGAAAAAAAAATGTCACATGCATTAAGAATGCCATATTTATGGCAGATTTAATGGAAATTTTAATATTCTCAAGGTGTGTGTAATATGCAATTTTTTTGACATTATCAAAAAAGTGGCATTTTTTACACCGATCGGAGATAGTGGTGCAGGGAAGCAGTACATGTGGGGGGAAAGACATCCATATTTTTTTTAAAATTTTTAATGGAGTTTTACAATTTTTTATTAATTTTTATTTTATTTTATAAATATTTATTAATTTTTTGTTATTTTTCTACGATTTTTTTAAATTTTTTCGAAATTATTATGAATTAAACATTTAATTATGACTTTTGACTACATCTTACTCATATTTAAAGGAGGGGTAAGAATGGAATGAAAAAATAAGTATGTTTTCAATATGAGTAATATGATCCTATTTTGGAATAAAAAAATAACAAGTCCTATTTTGGATTTTTGTCATAGTTTTATTCCTATTTGGAGTCATTTCCGAAAAAGTAAAAAAAAAAAACTTGGCTTTTAAGTTTGCCTAAAGAGAGTGCTCGAATAGTGTTTTGTGTAGCTACTAGCTAGTAGCCTAGTAACTGAAAAGGTTTCAAAGGCAAGTAAAATTAAAGGGCAAGAAGTATTATTATGCAGAGAGATGAAACATATCAACTCATTTAGCCAACTATGAACCAATTATCTAACCTAATCCCAAAGATTCAAAATGAATTGGAAAAAAAATCTTAACACAGAGCTTAACAGTCCATGAATCCATGATAAAAATGTACCAATCAACCTCATACCAACCAGAAACAAGCCATATAGCCATGAAATAATGATTCTACTCGCATGTCTACCAAAATTGACTCAACTTCTTCCAATCACAAGAAAATAAAAGGCAAATATTATGTGTGTATATATTAAGTAGAGAAATAGAAACCATGCAGAGTAGCCAAATACATCCATCATTGACAGACTCAACTTTTAGTGTTGCTCATTCTGCTGCTCTATGAAAGGTTCACTGCGTTCATGTTCTGCATCTCCAGCTTCTTCCACAGATTTGTCCACATTTCCGTTGCCACTGCATTCAGGATTAGATTAAGAAGATCAATCTTTAAGCCTCTCTCACACAAATATGCTAAAATCCATTTCTTTACTTACTAAAAACGATTAATTTTAAAATTAAGTATTTATAAAAGAATACAAAAAATCATAATGAGCTTCACTCAGATTAAGTAGAGTGGTGGGTACTTGATTAAACAGTGGCTCATCTTGCAGAATAATCTAAAACATAAATTAGTACATGTTCTCTTAATTCATTTAAGGAAACTAATAGACAAAAAAAGGTTTTGGCTGTTTTTATATTCATATCACCAAAACGAGTCGATTCGACACTACTTTTTCATTTTAACTAATTCAAACAAATGCTTTTAAGGACATTTAAGGATGCATAGACCAAACCAAATAGACTTTGATAGTTATAAAATACACATAGACCAAACATCTACCGTATCAGACCAAAAACATCCAATTTTTAAACCAGACCAAAAAAATTCAGTCCAATTAAAAATATCCCAAGTATGATAGTAAGTCTCTTCAGAACAACCATTTGATTTAGTTTTTGGCTGTTTTGATAGTAAGCCAAAACTCTACATAAGCAAGATGCCTAAATTGCGTCAAGTAGTAAGGTTAGGCCACACCACAGCAGCAAAAAAAATATACAAACTGAAATATAAAGCTATTGATTGCTCCTCTTATCATACTAACTTTTTATGATGAAAATCCAAATCTTAATATTATACTCGGACGAGCCATTCAGTCGCGTTAAGTCTTAACAAGTACACCAATTTTGAAAGTGGTCTAATCAAACTAACAAGCCTCCATCTTTTGTGACATAAAGTCATCACACACTGGCCAAATACATCAAATACAAATGATAGAACTCATATAAAGCCTTGGATACTTTAATATAATACCTTAACTATGTAGTCAGAATTTAAATTAGATTAAAAAATACTACTGCCTCTGTCCCCCTAAGATTACCCCATCTTTCCTTTTCGGTTCGTCACCCTAAGATTGTCCCAATATCAAATTTAGTAAAATTTGTGTGGTTCTGTATCATTCTTATTTAATTCATATTTTATTTCACACCACTTTCTCATATCCCAGTTTTAGTGGATCAGAGGTAGTATAAGATTGTTGAATACAAATTTGAAAATTGTTGAATTTAAATAATACAAAATTTCTTAGAAGATTGTTACATCCGAATTAGAGTCATTTTAGTTGGAGCACAATACTATGGATCTATATGACTCATGAAGTTGGCCTTTACTGTGTTAAAGCTAAAAAAAGATCAGTTGCAGACTGGAAGCAAAAAAAAAAAGTATTTCCCAATTACAACATGACAGTACACTGTCAAAACAAACGGGGTCAAACATTGGAGAAGCCGCTTGCAGAGATTTGTAGAGAACCATGCTTGGGGGGCATAATTTCTTAATCTCTTAGAGAAAACAAAGATGCAGACATGGTAATACAACTATACTTGGTATACAAGTTTTAAGTAAACACACACACAGTAGCAAAATTGCAGTTACACATACAGAAGCTAATAAGAGCATATTATTAGCTGAATGTATAAACTACAATCAGAACCTAGAAGAATACTTACAAATGCATGAGCTAATTATTAGCTGCTTTTAGGGAAATTCGGACATATTGTTAGAAGCAAGTGCAGAACGCAACAAAATTGTAAGTAGTCACAAGATGGATAAAACTGATAGTAATAATAATTCTCAGTAATAATTAATGAATCAATAAGAAATAAGGAATGCACTACCTGGAAGGCCGAGCATCATCTACTACCTCAGACCTCCTCCAACTCTTCTCAATTCTTCCCTCGGGAGAGTAGGAACGTCCACTGCTGCTCCCAAAGCTCTTCTTCCTGGATAAAGAAGGATCAGCAACCTCATTGACCTTTAAAGACTCCAGCTTTTGGTCAATCTCCTTCCAGTCATGTCCCTTCTCCTTTAACACCTCTTCCCTGGGCCTAGCTTCCCCGAAAGGATTAGAGCCGCCCTTGGGTTTTGCTGAAGTAGCATTCCCATTCTGCTGCCCCTCCGCTACGGGCAGTGTCCTCGGCTGCAAATTCAACCTGGGCCTCACGTTCCCTCCGCTTCCCTCCTCTACTTTCTTTCCCCAGTGATCCGAATCGTTATCATTAGTACCACGTCTTCTATCCCTTAAACTATCAAACGCGCTGCCTTCAGATTTGAATCGCCACCCCTCCTCTTCTTTCTTCTTCGCCCAATTGTCTGAGTGGTCGCTTCCTCCACCGTTAGATTCGAAACTGCCTCTCCTGTCGAACCTTCTGCCCTCCGAGGGAAGGAAACTTTTGTTGGCACCCCAATTATCAGAGCCGTCAGCCCTAGATTGCGAATCAGAGAAAAACCCTATCTTTTCTCCTCTGTCCCTTCTCTCGAAACCGTTACCTGCTGTGAATTTCTTGCCTGCTCCCCAGTCATCAGTCTCGTCAGCGCGAGAAGGACCGAAATCCCGATCGGATTCCCTCTGCCTCCGCGGCTCGTCACGAGCAGGCCTATCGTACGAAGATCCGTACGATCTGAAACCTCCGCCAAGCCTGGACCGGTCGAGTTCCTCGGCAGTCCGCTCGCGAGGACCGGTGGGAAGAGCCTTGATCTCCTCGTGGGTAAGCCCAACGGATTGAGTTTGTTTACCGGATCCGTAAGCGGAAAACTCCTGCAAAGAAAGGGTCTGGGGCTTCTTCTTCTTGGTCTTGGTGGCGGCAGCAGTTGCCAGGGAAGGGAAGTCCGAAAGAGCCGACCCGTTTCCTGCTTTGTTGATCAAATCTTGCTTTGCCTGAAGAAGAAGCTCTGCATCGTTCTCCTCGGAATCTAAAGCCCAATCGCCAGGCTTTGTCCAAGGGCTCACTGTTGCCGCCATGTTTATTTCTTCTATTTCTGTCTCGGTAGGTTTTGTGAGTTGCGAGTGCTCTGTGATTAATTGCGTATTTGAGAAGCCTAGGCAATTTATACCCTACAAGGGAGGCGCACCATATGCCCACCGTGAGCCCCACCAGTTGCCAAAAGACGCACCTTGATTTCATTATTTTTTATTTCTTTTA